GTGAAATTATTCATTTGTTTTGAAAATACGAAATTCAAATTGACCCCGTGATTTTGAAACGAAAGACATGTTCAATGGTGTACAAGACTAGAGGTTGAATTGATCAAGTGCTAGGGCATGGGAGAAAGCCACTAACCCACCGAAATGTGATAAAAGGAAGGGGAAACAAGAGGAACCATACACATCACCCGAGAGGAGATAGAGAAAACCATGGGAAAAAAAATAACCTTCTTTATTATTATATAAAATTGAATATTTGAATTCTTAGGAACGTTGTAATTAATATTGCTTTATGCTCTGATTACTGATTAATCGCTCCAAGAGAAGAGATTGATAAAAGCATCTTGCGGTAAGAAGGTAGTTAGTTGGTATATATGAACGCGATCGGGCACATCATTGACATAATGCAAATGCATATATTCCTCATGTCCTGTGTTACAAATTAACTTTTAGACTTGCGTTATCGAACTTCCGGTTCAATGGAGAGAGAATACACATGCCCCTCCTTTCAGCCTGATATTCGTAATTCATGTTCTAGGTATTAATTTGTTAATTTGCCTTTTCAACAAACTTATGTGTCTGTGAAAACGTCTTCCTCTTTAAACGATAACGAGACATAAGTACATAGAATTATTCCATTAATATTGATCACGATGATGAAAATGCGTACATATATTGAAACCGGTTAATTATAAGACAGAGAGTGAGCTGTAAGGTAATTGCTTGGATTGTTTTTCTTGGGGAGGAGGGAATTGGACTGTTACAATATTATGCCTTAAATTAAGTACGACATAATATATATGAGATAATTTCCTAAAATATTGCATAATTGTCACTTCATTTAATTGTCATATTTGATTTTCTTGCCTTGTTCATTAATTTTGCCCATTCTTTTTCTTTTCAATAATGAGAATGTGCTTTACCGGGGTAAGGAATAAATTAAAGACCGCCAAATTCTACGTAAGGCATTAACCCACAGAAAGCAAGAGAATGAGATGCAAGGAAGGAAGTGAAAGCCGACGGTTTGAAGAGGGAAGTGGACTGGAGACCAGAAACCGGCAACTGGGTCATACAGCCGGTGGACATACCTTTTTCAATTTCTCTTCTTGGATGAGAGAGAGAGGGGGGGACGCGGCGAATCTAATTCGCGCGGATAGAAACCGACAACTAGGAGCAACCGGTCATGCCAATTCCCCAATAGCTATTTACCACGTTTCATGCTGTGTGAAACACTCTTTTGAGATAAATCTTTATATGGGCCGTGGGCCCAATATGACTAACTAATCTGGGCTGAAAATGCCCAGCCCAATCTTCACGAAAGAGGCCAGCGAGGGAGTCCTGGGTACCCAAACTCTTCTCTGTTAAGCAACCAATTATTAATATTTAAAAAGAACAAAGGGGTATTAATGTAAAATTAACGGCCTAACTCTTTTTTGTCTGATAGCGAACAGCTAACAATGACCCGCAAAGTTGTTGAAAAACTACCCTTCTTTCCTTCTTCCTTCCCTGCTCAAATTCAAACAAAAAACCTGGACATTTACGTCTCCTTCCCAATCCCATCTCCCAAGTCCCAAGGTCTTGTTCCTTCTACGTCACCACACACGATACCTTGCCCCTGGCCCATACGCGTGTCATCTGATATAATACTATTCCGACTTCCAAGGTGGAAAAATAATATCCTCTGCTCTCTTTTTCGTGACTTAATGTTGAAAACTCTTTTCATTTCTATTTCTATTTCTATTGCGTAATTGCATTTTCAGAGAGACAGACGAGAGATGGGTTCTCTTGAGGAAAGATCGCTCTTGGAAGATGGTCTCATTCAGGTTCTTACTCTCTCTCTCTCTCTCTCTCTTAGCTGTCTCTATTTCGTATTAAAGTTTTGTCCTTTGAATCTGTTTTATTGATTAGGCTTCAAAATTTGGTCTTTGATGTGAATTAATTGAGGATTATTTTGGGCACGAATTGGGTTTCTTGTTAAACATGTTTCTCCTTTTAGTTTAGGGGTTTTGAGGATGGTTTGGCTCATGACCTATTCCAGTTTTCTTTTAACTGACATTCAATTACAAAGATGCCTCTAATCTAGTTTGAGTTTGTTCATTAGAGCGAATTTTTAGACTGAGAACCTGGGAAAGGTTTGACCTTGAGTCAATTTGTATCTGGGAAAGTTATTATTGAATCGGGCGTCTGCTTAAGTTTAATTATCTGAATTTAACTGGGTATCCTATATTTTCTATTTACGTTTTGAGTCTCATGACTTCTGCTGGCAAGACATTTACACTGCAGCGTACTTCTCTTTCCTTTTAAATGATTTTCTTCCACATTTATTTATATCTTAACGGTTCCAACACATGTAACATTATTCACATGATTGCATCTTCAGGATGAAAGCAACGGACTGTACACTGGAGACGGTTCAGTTGATGTTACCGGGAAGCCTGTTCTTAAGCAAAGTACTGGGAATTGGAGAGCGTGCCCCTTCATTCTAGGTGATCTTTTGTTCTTTATATGCCTCTTGTCTTGTGCATTGCCTTATGGACTAAGTTTTGATACCTTTGATGATATACATTACAGGTACTGAATGTTGTGAACGTTTGGCCTTCTATGGGATTGCCACTAACCTGGTTACATATCTCACAAACAAATTGCACGAAGGAAATGTGTCTGCAGCAAGAAATGTTACAACTTGGTCGGGCACTTGCTATCTCACACCTCTAATTGGAGCTGTCCTAGCAGATGCTTACTGGGGGAGATATTGGACAATTGCTATTTTCTCCACCATTTACTTCATTGTAAATAAATAAAAAATTTTGGTTTTTCTTCCCATTTTTTGGTGCATGGAAGAATCATCTTAAATTTTGGTTTTTCTTCCCATTTTTTGGTGCATGGAAGAATTTTGTCTCGTACACTTGACCTGTTGCTTCTGTTGGATCATCAATGGTTATTTACAGATTGTTTCACTGATTATTATTTGGTGTAGGGGATGTGTACTTTGACTCTCTCGGCATCAGTTCCTGCACTGAAGCCTCCCCAATGTGTGGATTCAGTATGTCCTTCAGCAAGTCCGGCACAGTATGGAGTATTCTTCTTTGGGCTCTATCTGATTGCTCTAGGGACTGGTGGGATCAAGCCATGTGTTTCGTCCTTTGGGGCTGATCAGTTTGATGAAT